TAAACCCACACAGATACAGTAATATAGCTATTGTTGCTTGCTTTAGTTTTCTGTTGGCTTTGAATATTACTGTATACAGATACAGTAATGTGATATTTGACAAAGGTACAAAAAACATGTGTTGGAGAAAGTTACCAAAAATGTTGAGGAAAATTGGTATTCATATGTAGAAGAATGAAACTAGATCTTATTTTTCACACTGTTCAACTCATAGTGGGTCAAAGTACTAGGTGTTATTCCAGAAACTTGCAACTGCTAGAAGAAAACATAAGACAACCCTCCAACAATATGCTTAGGCAATGACTTCCTCAATAGGTCTCCTATTAGAGAAAATAATGCAAAGCATTAATGAATGTGATGCCATTAAATTAAAAAGCTTCAGCACACAAAAGAAACAATTAAAATGTGAAAAAAGAACATACAGAATGGGAGAAAATATTTTAAGATACTCTTCTGAAAAAGGATCAATATCCAGAATATATAAAAAGTCAAATGTAACACAAAACTAAACAAAAATAAATAAATAAACCAATCAACAATGGGGCAAATTATTTAACATCTTTAAAGATCGTGAAAATAAAATCAAAACTACATTGGTATTTCATCTCATAACAAATAGAACAATCACCAAGAATACAAATAATTAATGCTGGTAAGGGTGTGGAGAAAAGTGAACACTTATCCACTATTGGTGGAATTGTGTATTGATACAATCAGTATAGAAATTAGTTTGGATGTTACTCAAAAGACTAGGAATTTAATTTCTATACGACCCAGTTATAACATTCCTTAGTATTTTTCCAAAAGAATTAAACTCAGCATACTATAGTTATATGTGCATACCCATGTTTATAGCAGTGTGACTCACAATAACCAAATTATGCAACCAACCTACATGTTTGCCAACAGATGAGCTGAAAAAGGAAATGTGGTATGTAGACACAATTGAGTTTTATTCAGCCATAAAGAAGAATGAAATTATGTCATTTGCAGGAAGGTGGATGGAATTGGAGATCATCACGTTGAATAAAATAAACCAGATTCAGAAAGTCAGTGGTCATATGTTCTCTTCCATATGTGGAATCTAGAGAGAGAGAGATTTTAAAAAGCAGTCCATAAAAATAGAAAGGAGACCAGTAGAATGAAGATTAGATCAGAGGGAGAGAAGAGCAAAAGCAGAGATACTGGTGAGTGAAACATCAAATTATTTTATGTTCATGTACAAATATGTCACAATAAATCACATTACCATATATTGTAAAAGTTTACTTAGTAGGGCATCTCAGAAAAAATAAAGACCTATCTTCAAGCTCTGATATTCTATCTTCCACATGATCTAGTCTGTTAAAGCTTTCTACTGATCTTTTTAAACAAAATTCTTTAATGATTCCTTCATTTCTAATATTTTATTTGTTTTTTCTCAATATCATTACATATTTGCATTGTATTTCTAACTTCATTTAACAGTTTATCAAAATTCTCATTAAAATGTTTAAAAATAATTATTTTAGATTATTTATTAGGGATTTTATGCATTTTGGTTTTTCTTTTAAAAAAATCTAACATTTTAGATTATGTTTTTAGGAGGAAGCATATTACCTTTTTAAATATTTCTTGCATTTCTATGTTAATATTTCCACATCTGTGCATTAGATCTATCTACAAATATTTATAGGATTGTTTTCTTAGTTACACCCTGAAGATGTTTCTTGGTTTATTGGTTTGTTACGCAATGTTAAATTTATTTCCGGTTAGCCACTATAGGATAATCTACCACTAGTTCTTTGGCTATGATTAATGAATGTGAGTACAGTGTAAACCTTATCAATGATGGAGAGACCCAACATCTTTGCAGGTCATGCAAGAGTGATGACACTCCAGCAGTACAGAGAGGTGTGATATAGGGAGGAGATTGTTTGACTTTTACCAGTGTGGCTACTTCTAAAAAGGGAATGATGACCTCTAGAAATTGGGGGCTTCCTTAGGAACTGTTGATATTGCACCAGTGGTGGTAAGAAGTCTGAATTACACCTTCTAATTAGATAATGGTGTGAGCCTATGTGACAGGAGAGAAAGTTGGGACAGTCATCACAGTACCCCTCTAGGGTGCACACAGGAAGTCTTATCAGCAGTGCATGATCAGACAAGGTATGAGTGTGGTCACTGCTGGAAACCACATTTGTTGTGGTTGTAGAAATAGTTACCATGTTCCTCTCTTCTACCATGTGGGCATGTATACCCAGGAGCAAGACCTCAGGATCCTGTATGTCTTAGAAATGGGGGCTGAAGTTCAGGATTCTCCCCCACCTCCATTTCGACTATATAGTACGTGCCAGGAATCAAGCAGGAATGGGTTGCATCTGGAGCTGGGCAAATTTCCTGTCAGCTGAAATTCTTGCTGCAATGAGCAAGTGTGAAACATGGCTGGCACAGGCTGTCTTAGGACCATTTGAACTCTTGAGAAGGGATGACAGTCAGAACTGAGGCATTGCTTGAGACTACTCCTACCTGCCTCTAGGTGAGGGGCATCAATGTGACCACAGAGTTCTTTCCACACCAGGTTGGTGACAGTTGCCCCTGTGTTATGCTGGGAAGAGGAGTGGAGGGAATTCCATGGGTGCCTGCAGTTGAGTCCTGGCACTAATGTAAACTTGCATGCAACTGGCCATGCCATGTCATGAGGACAATCTTCCCAGTTTTTTTAGATTGGCACCTTCTGTTTCTATCCGTGTTGTAGCAGCTCTTCCCAATAGTGCCTCAGACTGGGCATGTTTAAGTCCAAGTCACTCCTGAGACAAGTTTGGTTCATAAAGCAGTTACTCACTGAGAGAATACCCTGGAAAGTCTCCTGTGGTGGTGATGGTGGTGGTGGGTTTTAAAAATGTAAATATGCAGGGGTTTCTGGCCTCCAGAACAGTCTAAATTCAGAAAATATGTCCCTTCTCAAGATGGTCCTGACTATATAGCAACCTCAGAGTTTGCTGCGAGCTGATATAAAATCCTTTTCCAAAGCAAGGCTGCTATACATTTTAAGTTACTTATCTCATTGCAAGCATATAAGGGTTAAAATTTTCTGATAGCTGCATTGCCATCATCTGTGCTGACTTTTTGCTGGGACTGTCTTTTGAGCCTTATTCCTGCAGAAGAAAGACTCCCCCTCCCCCAGCGTTGGAGCAGGAGTGTCATGGGCTAGTATATGTTATTTCTTCTGCTGTTGTCCCAGGTATCTGAATCTTACAATGTTTCCATTTTTCTGCTGTTAAGTTTTAGTGTTCTCACATGCTAATTCACCTCAAAATGCAGCTGTACATCTTCCCCTTTGGTTCATTTTTGGGAGAAGTAGGTGAGTTCTAGGTTCCCCTATTCTTTGATCTTGGCACCCTCACACATTTAACAAAATTCAAAAGATAGCAAACATAATTGGTTCTCTACTTCTGCACAGTGTTGTATGTATGATCTCACTTTGTGAATATGGGTCAACAATTTCTAAGGCACAATGGGACATCAACATTTGCATTTGGATATCAGCTACATAAAACATATGGATCTCTGAGAATATCTAGGATCTTGGTTTTTGCAATTAAGTTTAACCTTACCTTTTGCCACAATATCTCTGCTAAAAATCTAGCTAAGATAAATGCTCTTAAATAACTTGAAAACATATATTATCCCACTTTTTCCTCTATTTTATGTCCCATGTTTGAATACATTTAATCATCATGATTTGGTTTGGTTTCCTGTAGGTCCTTACTTGTTTGGTATACGTGAGAATAAGTTTACTAGTTTAGGGTGGAATGCTTGTGGTAGGCAGAATCCTGGCTTCCAAGGTCTTTGCCTCTGGGCATCATGTCTGTAACTAGGCTATGTTATGTGCCCAAAGTGACCTTGAAGGTGGTATTAAGGTTACAGAATTTTTTTTTTTTGGTGAAAAATACATTTTAATCCCAAAGTTTTGACTATCAGCATTTAGAAAACTATTTTCAATGTTATTTACAATCAGTTTTACTGTAACTTTTGTGAACAGAGAGATGACCATATGCATAGAGCCATCTACAGTGCCTGTTCCCAACATAAAAAAGTAATTGTATAGAAAAAGGGTAAGGGTGAGAGGTGCCACAGTTACAATCATTATGATCAAATCAGGGTAGAGGAGATAAGCATTTCCCCCCCACCCCCAACATTTGTCACTCCCTTACTTAACTGATTTGCACTTGAAGCATACACAGCAGACCTTCCAAAGCATGCTATTAGGAGTCCATGGCAGATGGCTTAAGCTGGGGTAGACATTTAATGGCCTACCAATCACTTTTATGACTGCCCAAGCAGCACAGGTTTTCTGGGTGCTCTAGTGAAGGTGACATCTGCACTGCAGTCTATGGTTTGACCTTAAGTCTCTGTTTGACAGAGAAGGTAGATGAGACAGTGAAGAGCAGCTCTATTGAGAACAACTGAATGGTTTCAAAAAACCATTTGCTACAAAAAAATCACATAAAAGTTTAAAAAAAGTCTGGGCTAATAAAATCATCTAGGAATCACTCCTTACAGTTAATGCTGTCTGTCACAGCATTTTCTTGATGAGGAAATACGTTTTGTGTGGCTTTATGACACATACAATTGATGGATCACAGATACATTTAAGCTCTTGATCAGAAACCTAAAACTTAACTACTACTTATATAAAAATAGAATTCATTTTATGAGCTACTAACAATAAATTATGAAGAAAAATAGTCATACCTGTTACTAATGGTCTCCCAGGAAACTGTGTAGCCTTTGCCTGGGAGGATATACATACAAAATGTAATATTTACCTTCAAATATATTTCATTATTTTCTATCCCTTGTAATTTTCTAAGTAATAGGTAATAAACAAGCTAATGATTACTGGGTATTTAGGGGAAAAAACTTTGTCATTTTTCCATGTAAAAATTTCATGAAAGGAACACATGTATATCTCATAGTAGTATGATAGATGAAAACTGGAAATCCAGTTTTTTTTTGAATGCTGGGAATCAAACCCAGGGCTTCAAACATGCTAAGCAAGTACTCTACCACTGAGCTATATCCTCAGCCCTGGTCTTAATTTTGTAACTACAAATGGTAGGCAACTGTTTCCTTAATAGTTATTGCTGGAGTAGGTCCAACATGAGTCCATATGTAGCCCTTCTCTGGTCTGGTGGGGACTGTAGGAAATGGTGATGACCGTGACTTGAAATACTCAGAAGGTGCATGGCAAACAAATTCCAAGTATTCCATCTTCCTTGGAAGATCTTCCTCTGGCCCTATGATATAGGATGCAGGATCAAACTGGTCTCTAGGGCTGGAAAGAGTGGGAACGAGCCATGTCAGGGCTGCACTCTTTTCACAATATTGGTCCTGGATAAAACCCCTGATCTGAGCATAGTAAGGCTTTCCATCTTGTTCATCAATCACAGAAACAACATCACCAATTTGGTAATACACTCCCTTGTGGAAGATTGATTCTGCAGTGATTATGGTAGAAACAGACTCAGGAGCTTTGATAGGATTTTTTAATTTAAAAATATGTCTTCTCCCTTTTCCTTTAGTAGAAACTTTCTTTTCAGCCCCTGGAGCAGATTTGTATTTAGTGTTTCTGAGCCGCGCAGACCTCCTGTGAATTTCCTGCTTACTCTGCTTGCCGCCCCCGTCCCCGTTGCTCTGCGGGGGCGCGGCAGAGGTGCTGGCGAAGGTCGCCGTCCCGAAGCTCCCGCCACCGCTGCCCCCAGTTCCGCCGGCCGCCCCGCCCCGGCCCGTGCAGTGGTGGCAGAGGATCTCCCCCTGCGGGCCCTTCTTCCACATGGAGGACGTCGTGGTCTTGCAGCCGCTGCAGGTGGGCTTCAGGCCCAGCGGCATGTTGGCCGGCTCGGGCGGCCCCCGCGGGCGCAGAGACACGGGAATGGCGGCCGCCTTTCTTGGCCGCCCACTGGTCGGCCCGCCACCCTGGCGACACGAAGAACTGCGAGGGCAGGGATGCCGAGCTGTCGACACAAGGGCCTGGCCTCGGCCGCTGCCCGCTGCAGGTGCGGGGCAGGCTCCGCCCTCCCGCGCCCACCACCGGCCCTGGGCAGTGCACCAAGGTTACAGAATTTAAGACAGGGTGGTTATCTAGGATTATATGGAGAAAATGTATCATTAATGTTACTAAATAAATAAATAAATCTTCCTCTCTCATGTTTTTCTATGTTCATTATGTTTTTATTTGCCATTAAATGTTGTTCAAGGAAAAAAAAAAAGGAATAAAAAGTTTGAAACATCCATAACTTACATTCTAAAATTCAATTTACAAATGCAAATATCAGCACACTTGTTTACCAAATTATCAATATTACACTGTATTTTTTGGCTCAACCACACAGTACCTAAAGTTGCCCATAAAAGACAAACAAAAACCAAACTCAGTAACAATGGAAGAGGAAGAGCATGCTCTTCACATATGGGAATACTGATGTACAAATACAGACACTCATGACTGCACATTCTAGCACTCTTACTAAACCAACACTTCAATGGTCCATTTCCCACTTGGGGAAAGAAAATTGAGAAAATATTTCCCCTTTCCATTAACTTACAGCCCATAGCAACTGCTTCAGTCCATAATTAACAGGCAAACTTAATGTATATTGCAACATTTGTTCTGCAACACATTAAGTGTATAGACAAGGGGTGATCTTTGCCTCTGGGCATCATGTCTGTGACTGAGTTGTCTGCTGGACATGGCATGGCATAACCAGTCCCGGTGAAGTGAGTCTGCACCTGCTCTGCCTTGAGATGATATAGACTGTAAACACAAGACACTGATGCTTCCTGTGCCTGTCCCAGCTACCATCATGGCTGAAGGGTAGAATTGATTTGAATGGAGATAGAGTCTGGGAAAACTGGGTGCCAGGAATCAGGGAAGTGACTAAACAACTGTAGCCACACCTAGGAAAGTGGGTATACACTGAACATGAACTGAGGCTCTCAGATTCCAGTGTGTGACCCACTTTCCAATCGGACTATACAAAACAAAATACTTATCAAACATAAAATTCAATTATATAGTTTCATAAATTTCTCAGGGCATTCAATTCTAAGTACAAGTGGGGCTATATGAAACCACTGTGTTCACATGCCCATAAATCTTATCCTGAAAAGAAATACTTAATTATCTTATCATATGCATTCTCCTATTTTTATGACTAAATCAAAATAATAGTAATAAAATGATCAAAGAATAAAACAAATACAGCAAAAAGAACAGAACAAGGTTGAAAATAGATTGCAAATGTGAGTATCCTGATAGATAATATTATTTGGTGCTTTCTATGTACCATGTGTTTATATGTGAAATCTCATGTCCTGAAACAACCACCAGATGAGATGGATAGAATACCCAACCCTTTGAAGAAATGAGAAACAGGCCAGGAATAGTTCATGCCTGTAATCCTAGCAGTTTGTGACACTGAGGCTGGAGGATTGTAAGTTCAAAGCCAGCCTCAACAGCCTAGCAAGGCCCTAAACTTAGTGAGACTCTGCCTCAATATGTGTGTGTGTGTATACACATATACATACATACATGCATGCATATGGGCAAGGAAGGGCTGGGGATGTGGCTCAATGATTGAGCACTCCTGGATTCAATCCCTAAATCCCTAGTACAAAAAAAAAAAAAAAGGAAAAAAAAAAAGCAGGAAAGAAAGAAAGAAAGAAAAGAAAAAGAAAGAAGAAAAATAAGAAGCACAGACAAGTTATATAATTCTCCCAAAGATATAAAAATTATAAGTTGAACTTGATGAATTTAAAAATCTAACACAAAGGCTGAATCTGTTAAACACAAATGATAATGCCTCTTAAGATGAAATAAAGTGAGTAACACAACAAGGAAACTAGCACATTTTCCCACATTTATTGGTCAGATAAATTGTAACAAACTTCTTAAAGGGCAATTTGGAAATAGTGACAGCCTAAGGATTTTAATTCACTTGCAATTTATATCACCGATTTTAGGAATTTATTTAAAAAATCAGGGATGACATTTCAGTTTTCTATAGCTACATACTAAACCAAACCAGATATTAGTGACTGTATATAAGCAGTTTGTCTTGTTTGTCCTTGGCATAGTTTTCTTCTTATTTTTGATGTTTGTGGTTTGTTGAAACTGAGAACTGCAGATTTATAGCTTTTGTCAAATTTCATCATTTTTTTTTTATCATCCTCCATCCCCCTTTTGGAGAATCCAATTGTATTTACTTTAAACCATTTAAAGTTATCTCGCAGCACACTGATGCCACATTTATTTTTGTCTACTTTCTTTTTGTACTGCATTTGAGATAGTTTTGATTGCTTTATCTTAAAGCTAACTATTTTTTTTATTCTGAATTGCCTAATACACTTTTAATCTCCTCCAAGATTTTTTTTAACTCAGATGTTATGGGTTTTTCTTTACGATTTCAATTTGGATCTTTTTAAAGATATCTTGCATGCCTGTATTTAATATGCTTTTATTTTTCCTTTATCTTCTTGAGCTTATATACTTGTTAGAGTATATATTACTTCCCTACTAATGTTGTCATCTGTGTCATTTCTGGGACTGTTTCAATCGAATGATTTCTTTTCCTTATGAGTTATGTTTTCCTGCCTCATTGCAGGACAGTGTATATTTTACCTTGATATTTGCTGGATATTTTTTATATTTCTATAAATGTTCTTGAACCTTGTTTTGAGATGTAGTTATTTGAACACTTTCAATCTTCTCTATTAAGAAAACATAGGGGTATCATATATCCTTATTCTGCAACTAATTATTAAACTTCCGAGGAGAAATTTGAATATTCTATCCAATACTTTGTGCATTTGAGGTTTTTCATGCTGGAAGATAAAGACTAGAACAGTATCCAGGCTCTTGTGAACCATAGACATGATTCCTTCTAATCAAACTTTCAGTTGGTTCTTTCTCTTTCTCCAGATAATGTTTTTGTATGTACAGGTTGACCTTTGTGTAGCAAAGGACTCAACGGGAATCCCTTGAAGGTTTCCAGAGTTCTCTCTTTACTCTGGCATTTTGCCCAGCAAACCTCAGCTTTTTTGGCCTCCTAAGACTCCAAGCTTCATTACCAGGACTCAAGGACACTACTGGGTCCACCTTGATTCTCTCTGTGTATACCATATCCTACAACCTCTTTCTAGTCTCTTAAGTTGGAGCAGTCATAAGACTCTCCTTGTTTGTGTCCTCTCAGGAATCATTTTCCAAAAACCAATTTCTTCAAAATCATTGTATCTTTTTCCACTAACATTTTTCTTGTGCATATGGTTCAATCTTGGCTCAAATTATTTCAGTTTGTTTATAAATTTTTACATTGGGAATTTTGGGACAGCTCAGGTATACATTTCATTTTTAACTGACATGTCGTCAGTGTGGATTTCCGGGCTGGAGAATAAATTCTATGTGGCATTCACTAATATGTCTAAATCCCTAGAGTTTTCCTTGACTACTTTAATTTCTCTCTTCCTCTCTCCCTCTTACTTTAACTTCCTCTCTCCTTTTTACCTCCTGTGTGACATCTTATCTTTTAAGGATATTTCCATGTGGCTTGATCTTCTAACATCATGGTGGTCAGGGGATTGTTGAACTGCAAGGCTCAAAAGTCGAAGGATGAGGGTCTCAGTAGACCAAAGTAGAATTTGCAAGATTTCTTCTGAAGTAGTCTTAGAATTCACACGACAGCCCAATTAAATTCTGCAGATTCTGCTTGTTACAAGTGATTCATAGGTGCTACAAAATTCAAGGGGATGTAATGACACAAGAAAATGGATCCTCGAGAAGTAGCCCATTGGGATGTGGGGAGTTATTTTTTAGGGACTAGCTATCATAGATGCAATAATGGGTATATCTCCAAAGTTGTTTACTACTACCATTTACTATTATTTATTTTAGGAGAAAAGACAAAGGGAAAAACTGTCTTCGAAGATAAATCTAGTCATCTGAATTATGGGTTAAGTATAAAGTATTGCTTTGCAATACTTCAATATGATTTTAAAGATGTATATATAAATTAAAAATATAAATTTGTGAAAGAATGTTTAATAATTCTCTCCATATAAATGCAGGTAGGGTATCACAACATTTTCATTTGTTTCACATTTTTCTTTAGTTTAGTTTATAACTTTTATTATGAATATGTAGAAAAATAAAGCATATTGTATAAGAACTGCTATTTTTACTTTTGCCACTCAGAATGAACTATTTAAAATTCTCTAATTTATTTCTTATTTGCTCTTGAAAAAAAACTACAACTTTAATATTTCATTCATGCTTTATGAATTAATAGATAGGACAGCAATAAAGAAGACAATTGAATTTTCCTTGTTACTTGGTTTCCTGAGTGTTCAGAAATTAATTTGTCTTTGATCACCATAGAATTAACATAGGCAGTTGGAACATTTCCCCAATAGAAGTTATAAATTTATTTTTTAAATTAATTTTAATTATGTAGCTTTATATTGAACTGAATTGAAATATGTCTCCAATCCTTTTTATTTTGAAGTGGAGAAGATAAGCAGAAAGTTCGTTTAAGAAAATCAAGAAAATATATTATTAAATAAGGTGTTTCAGTTTATTTTGAGAGTGATTAATTACCTAGAGAATTCAGGTGACTCATAAAAGAAAAATAATCACTTTTATATAGTGCTACTGATTTCCAAATATATGTGTTCATGGTAAATTTTTCACTTGTACCTTTAACCCACATCATGCTGCTTAAAATTCACACAAAATTAGATTTAAACTTTACATGGCCATTCATTATGGTACTCACTGTCTATTCTTCAATGCAAAGTTTGAGGGTCCTTCAGGATCACATAAGGCTCCCAACCTA